CACACCTCTAATTTCCAGCAGACTGTACAAGGGTGCTGCGCATCTACCACATGGTTGAAAAGGTGGGTTCAGACCTTGCCTGCACTTCTTGAGTTGAATTTTGCAGTATCATGAACCTTGGGACTGAGGGGAACGTGCATGTACTGGTAATATGTAAATGGACAGCGTCTGTTGAATTACTGGCAAATAGCTCCTTTTAATTGACTGTAGGGCTGTGGAAGTCTGCAAACAATCCCCTTATCTGAAGGAGGAGCTCTGAAATCACGCAAAATGGCTAGACTTGCTGTGCTGGTGCCTGCCAAGTGCCTCAATAGCAACACGTTGTCTAGCAAAAATGTGACTCCAAATGGCAGCCTCAAAGGTGCTACGGAAAGGTTATGCTCCAGTAGATTATATCTGATTGGTGTTTCTGCTTTCCATTTTCTGTGCCAGAGCTTGCTGGGTGCCCTTTAGAAGGGAGATGAACAGAAGGACTCAGTGATCTTCAGCATGGAAAAAAACCTTCTTTTTTCTATCACATTCCATCCCTTGCTCCTTTACAACAATATACCATGTTCTCTCCAGTGCAGCTGGTGTGAACAAGTTCACGAGTGACTGAGAAATGAGGAAGCTCCAGGTCCCAATGGAGAGCTGAGGAGCATCAGTCCAGTCTCTGAGCAGAAGTCCCACCAGGTCATCTGGAGGGAGTGTGGCAGGTCCCGGTTAGCTCAGTCCAGCTAACTTGCACAAGGTAGTGCAAGTGCTGAAAGTCAAGTAGGACACGAGGGTGCTCTGCACTTACCTGCAGTGTGTTAGCCACACATTTAACAAAATCTGTGAAGGCTGAACAGAAAGCAATTCTGACACATGTATGTCAACAGTATGGACACAAGGAACTGTAAAGGAGACCAATCTTTTTGGCTGACCAACCTTTGACCAACACCTATGGAGAAGGTGAAATGTGTGCATTCCCTGCTGTGTCCTTCTTTGACTTGACAAAAGACAAGTCACAGAGCTCCTCCCCACAACGTAGCAGGAGGCAAAAGTCATACATGGTGGATGGCAATGAACAAATCGCTTTTCTTGAACACTGAAGGAGGGGTTAACCACCTCCATAATGCCCGAGTCATGGTTCAGAAACACAATTCTTCTGGGGAAAATAACCTGATTTAAAGAAAGAAGTGGACCAAGAATGTCTGAAGCTTCACAAATGCAATGCTGAGATGATGGATCCGCCTGACACTGCACTACCATTTCCTGCCTCTCTGGCTGGGCTTTGGGCAAAAAAACAGCTAGCAGATTGTACATTTTTTGGGAGATGTTTCTGCCCCAGACAACAAAAACATGTCCTGTGGCATAGATAAAGGAATATCTTCCTTGAGAAGTACATAGTTTGAAAGTTAGTTGACCAGAGAGAAGCTAACGATGGAGAAAAGATACAAAGGACAAAAGAGGAAATGGAGGTCAAAATGAAAGCTATTTTTCCTCTGCTTTTCCTTGCAAAAGAAATCCAGGAAAAACAGGCTGCTATGCATAAGGTAAGCTGGGGAGAGAAAGTAAAGGTGAGCTGTGTTTTTATATCCTACGCATGATGTACACAGGAGGCAGGATATAGTTGTAGATATGCCCCTGGTATCTGAGCTAAAGATCTGCTGTTGAGTGCATGGGCCTACATCCTTAGTGAGAACATGGGTAACTGCTTAAAAGAAGTCAAAAAGCCATCTTGGAATAATTTTTTATGGAGCACTTGCTTTCATTGCATAATGAACTAATGGAAAACTAGCAACTTGGCAAGGCAGGGCAGTGGGAGAAATGCTATGGGTTCACTAGCCTGTTCTGATCAAATCAAGAAATCCTCTGCTGCTTCCATAATAATGTACACAGGTGAAGAAGGAATACAGCTGAACAACCAGCCACACCACTTACTGCCCACTTCGTTTCAAGCCCACTACTGCTGCAGCCTCTCCTGGGTGCTAAGAGCAGAGACATTTCTAGATAAAGCAAGTGAAGTATCTCAAATTCTTTTCTGTTAAGATTTCCTTCATACCCATGGCTAAGCTGCTAAGAAGCAGTGATCAATCCAGTGAAGGGACGAGGAGAAAACATAATACCATGTTCTCTTCTTTTATTTGGCCCCTTTAAGAAAATGAGTAATACATCTTTGAATAATCAGAAATATCATTTTTTTTCCTGATGGAAAATCTCTAAGGGAAAAGATGAATATGATGATTGATTGCTTCAAGCATTTTTATATCTGTCACTGACCAATGGATGGGATATATTCTTTGCATGAGATAAGGCCTGCTGAGGAGTTACTGGATAACCTTCTATAGACTATGCTCTATAAATTACTTCATGAGTACCACAGTCCCTCCAGACCTCCTAAAACGCATTGGTAAATTCATCATTCACCTCCACTGAAAGGACCGTTTACCATTTCCATTATGAGGTTCACGGTAATCTTTGGAGAACTAATTATGTTACTAAATGAAGAGAACTTTGACTCCCACCCCAAGCATACACACACACATACCTGAGTTAAAAACAGGTGGCCACTCTGGCTTGCCACTTCTCCAAACTTTATAGCAGGTTTTTGTGAAAGATGGTCCTACTATGCCTGCTACACCTCCCTCCATGCCATCATACTCTAGGTAATACAGGGAGACAGACAGGACAGTGCTTTTAGGACACACAAGATTGGGGAATCTTGCAACTTGCATCTGCTTTAGTCATGATTTGCGAACTTTCAGATTTGCTGTAATTATTTGCACAGGGAGGTCTTTGGATTTCAAAGCACTGTGTATTAAATAAGCACAAACTTTAAGAACAAACTTAAATTATACTAACAGAAATCAACAAGTTTGCCTGATATCTTTCTGCTTAATTTGACCCCTTGCATACAACTCAGTTACTCTTTGTCTCTTCTGCTCTCAACTTTAAAAGTAGAGCTTCAATTCCCTTCTCAACTGAAATCATACCCCTCGTATAAGATCACAAAAGACTTCAAAAAAGTCAGTTGCTTTCTTTTATGATCTTTTCTGCAACTGCACATAATTGTTGATTACCGCACTGAAATACTGTGAGTATGGTAGCTGAGAAGCAAGAAAAGATGAGGTAGTAAAGAGAACAATATCAATTAACAATGTGTACTATGTTTCAGAAATGTTCTTGCACCTGCTTCTCATTTGTCCTCAGCTAAGAAACAAAAGACAGCTTTATCATTATTATTATTGTTGTTGTTGCTATTATTTATTACTGCTTTTGCCAAAAAAGAAGCCTCACTTCATCAGGGAATGATCAAGCGACTAGACTCCCACAGCCTGGGCAGGGTTAGCTCCACTTTCATCTTCTTCAGTCATCACTAGCTCTGAACAATGTCACGTCCCATTTGTGCAAAGCAAGTCTCACGAGCAGCTGTTCCAAGTGAACAGCTTGAAGAAGCTGGACTCTAAAAAAAACATTTATTTTGCACCACCTCAGCATGGCTTATCTTTCTTTTCAGAAGGCAAATTCAGAGTGGCATCATCCTCGCACCAAAACTGCAACCAAAAACTGCTTGGCGCAGGCTCAGAGCAGCTGGCCGAAAGATGTTATTATTTTCCTTGGAGAACACTCAGTCATCAAGATTTTGCTGCTCAGTCATTGACAGCCTGAGAACATTCAACAGCAGTGTTTCTCAAACTGCGACCAGCTTCCTGGGAGAGGCTGGAGTCCTGCTAGAAGCATGAACCAACAAGCCAGAGGCAATCGAACACAGCTGGCCTAGGCTTGCTCTAGTTAAGGCTTGACAAGAATACAGGTCTTGTGCTAAATACCATGTCGTGTATCATTTTTTGCTGATCCTAAGGAAGAATGAAGACTATCCTTAAGGCTTAGACACAAAATGCGCATGCCTAACTTAATCCAGCATAAAGCAATTTTGGTAGTCTTCAATGAGAACTGCTCACCCGCTCTCTTCACGGGCCACAGATCCACTTCCCAGCAGTCAGTTTTATCCTGTATCCTCTCATCTGTGAATAAGAGCAAAACAATACACCCTCTCTCTCTCCCCCACTTATTTTTAATACCATATCTCCTTCAACCAGTTCTGCTACAGTTTACAGGAACAATGAAGATGCACAGGAAAGACATGTTGTCCTGAACCCAAGCTTAGCATGTAAGCACCTGTGTCACCAACTGGTACAATTAAGGTGCTTCTCATTACTTTTGTAAAATGTTATTATTTGTAATTCACTTTTAATTCCAACACAAACCATAATTTTTACATTTTTTTTCCGAATTAAAATAGGGGTGGAGAAAGATCATCAACAGTGTAAAGATAGTGATCTTGGCTTTTTTCCTTTTTTTTTTTTTTAATTTTCCTGAGGACAAAAAAAACCTACCTGGCAAACTTCATGCAGGCACTAAAGCATCTATAGCTGGCAAAAACTGCATTTTAATTGGTAAGGGAGAAACAATTGTCCAATTCACTGTTCAGTCTGGTACACAGGCAAGACGAGGCCAAAAGGTCACTCACAAACGGCTAAACATGCCAGACACTGAGCAAGAACAATTCCTTCTTGTGGGCTTGACACAGAAACTAGGTTTCTAAGGCTCCTCAGTTTGTTACCTCTCTCTCAAAAGCAAGCAAAACAAAATTCCTGACCTATATTTAGTATGCTAATTACTGACACTTGTCTTGCATTGCACAGAAACTGTTAACTTACCTCTCTTCCATCCTCTACCAAGCTGGATGGTATACTAGGGAATTTGCTGCACGCTGTTCCCCAGATCTTCACTCGCATTTACAGTGAAGTAAACCTATCAATCTCATTCTTCTTGCTTGTTTTGACTTGGTTCAAAATAAGGGTTTTGTTATTCCTGCCCTTTCCCTGAGCTCCCGCTCTCATCCTGCCAAGCCCAAAACTCACAGCTTGCTTTGGCTTTGACGGAGCTGCAAAGGGCTTTGCGATGCCTATACAAAAAAAGGGATGATTTGCTCACTGAAGCTAAGCGTTCGGGGACATGGCCCACGTACTGACCTCCACCAACGGCCTGGGTTTGCGCTCCACTGCAAACCTGAAGTGACAGAGTTCACAGTAGCTGGTGTTTGAAGACGACAGCCAGTGTTCCAGGCAGCTGCGGTGAATAGTCCCCAGGGTCCCCGTGCATTCGCAGGGGGAAAGCAGGTCTTCCTGACTGCTGCCCTCATGGCAGATCCTGCACATCGGCCGGTCATTGAAGGGGCTGCTGGAGGAGGAGAGAAAACGGCTGGTCACTGTACAGGGCTGTGATTTAGCCTCTCCCTCCTTCTCTCTGTATGTCACAAATTAACAACGTAGGAAACATTTGCAGTGTGCTACTTTGCTCTGTAGTTAGCACACCAAGCTGCTGGGCTAAAGGCCGCAGGCACTCTGGTATTCTTGTTTAAAATATCTCTTCTGTGGGGAAGGGGAAAGTGGAGGCTGAAAAACACATCAGAGTGGTAGATGAGAGACAGACGACAAAGTGCTTCAATATCTTTGTATTTCCCACCTCTTCACAGTGCAGCAGAGCAGCCACTTCCAGAAATCTCTAAATGCATGAGGGAAGTTTTAAGCCTGCCTCGGCTGGGCACCTCTTATGATAGTGATCATCTGTGCATCACTCCTAACCTACAGGGCAGCATCTCTTCTGCTAGTGATGACACTCTGACGTATAGGGTAAGCTGTTTTCAGCGATCAAGAGCAAGGGACTACTAGATCTGAAACAACAGCACCTTGCCCCATAGCAGTGTGAAGGCAGGGCCAAAACTTCAGGCAGGCTTGTGCAGGCAGGAAGCTCCTGTCCCAGGGGAAGGTTTCCCTCTCTTTGGGACAACATCCCATGACCAGCTCAAGGAGAGCTATAATGGCACTGAAAAGTAGGACTGTGCCAAACACATCCCTCCTGCATTGCTGCCCATGGCTATCTCTCCAGCATTGCCTCCCCTAAAGCACCCACCTTCCGGGTGGTGGGGTGCTGACATGCAAAGGGGGATGTGTGCTCCTCCTGCCAGTCAAAACCTAAAGACTCCGACTGAGACTCTCCTATTGAGAATCTCCGTTTTACAAAGGAATCTTTTGGGAAAGAGGAAGGCAGTCGTGCGGCTTCCTGGGGTACTTGGGCATAGCACAGCGGGAGGAAAGCAGGAGCAGGCTGCAAGCACCAGTGTTGCTCAACCATGGAGCCACTTCACCGCAGCTTCAACTCAGCCCCTGCAACTGCCAAGGCTGAGAGGGTCGATCTCTTGGCTGAGGTCTTGGAAACAAAAACTCTCCCTACCACATACACCACCTTAGGTGATCTCCTCAGAAAAGCAGGTTTTGTCACTGTCGCTGACAAAACCTCGTTAGCGGATAGTGTACGGTGGCACACAGCTGTTCCCTCTGTCCCTCTTCTGGCTCTTTGCAGACTGCCCCAGGTAGACCTCACTCACGTGTAACTTCAGGAAAGCATAAAGAAGCCAGCCCGCTCCTTTCAATCTGCCTGGTAAAACAGTATGAAGTTGTGTTCAATGCTCTGCACACATCTGAGCTGTGCAAAATGGTTTTTTTAGGTTTAAAAAAGTTGCTACAAGGGGAAAAGGCCCTTTCAGGCTGTCACATCGCACATGCAACAGCAGTTAACAATTTCACTCTTCACATGAGTGCAGTAGATTGGATTATATTTGCTGTTTTGTGAAAATCCAGGGCTACTTCAAGACCCCTGTGGTCTTTCCAGCTTCACACCAGTGAAGTAGAACTTAATTTTGACCCAGGTCTCAAACCTGTATGTGGCCAAACCTTTAAGCATCCTCTTTCTTGCTTCTAATGAAAACAAAATCAACTCGAAGCAGGCTAATGATTCAAAGGGTATACTTTAAATGTTTATTTCATCACTAATCTGCCATTCCAAACTGACAGCAGAGAGCTGCTCTCAATCACTTGGACAATGGCTGAAGCAGCACACTTGTGTGTGCACCTCTGCTAGAAATAGCTTGTCTGGCCGCTCAGGGCGCTGACTTGGGAAGCGTGAAGGAAATGTGCTGCCTAAGTGCTGGCAGCAGCACGCAAGCTAAACACAGCACCCCGTGCCAGACAGCGCCTGCCAAAGCCTCCCACTACATATCAGGGGAAATTATTGCAGCTGGTGCACTTCAGCAGTAGCATCCCTAAGCAGTTTGCTTCCCCCTTCTTCACTGAGTATAATGGTGAGGGCTTAATTACATATGCAGCATAATCATTATAAAGTTAGGATGAGGGTTTAATTACAAGTGCACCATGGTAAGCCTTCATGAAGCACACCACCATATCTTCCCTTCAAGAGCTTGCAGGACTTGCAGCTGGCAGCTGGGGAGGGTGCACTCGAGCCCACGCACGGAAGGGACCCATCCTGTCCCGCCATCCCCCATGTACCTCTGCGTGGCGAGCGTCCGCACGACGGAGGAGAGCAGCTGCCCATCTTTGGCTGACACCTGCATGACATACTGTGGGCAGCTGCCGGCTGGGCCGCCACCGATGCCGCCGGGCAGGGTCTTGCCGTCGGGTGCCAGTGGGCGTGGGCGCTCCGGTGGGATTCCCGGCAGGTGACTGCAGCGGCTCGTCCTCATGGTGGTGGCCGGTGGGTCCCCATCTAGGGAGGAGGGAGGACAGGGCGGTGGGGTGGGGAGAAGGGGCACGTCCCTCCCTGTCTGCAACTCCATTGCATTGATCGATACCAGGCATGAGAAAAAACATCCCCTGTCTCCCTGCCCCAGCCCACTGAAACCTGCTTAGCAGGGGCAGGAAGCTTACAATGACACGTGTTGTGGAAAAACAGTCTGTATGTCTCAGAAACAGCAAGCCAGGGCTCTGCTCTGCTTTTTTTCTCTGCAGACTCCTAAAGTCACAAGTGATAAATGGAAAGATAATCTTTTTGTCTCTCCCCCAAAAAACGCTGCAAAGGAATATACAATCTTCACTCTGTGTGCTTTTAAACTTAAAGGCTGCCCCTGTCCACCAACGGTGAAAGTTACGTATCAGAGAGAAAGCAGTCGATCTGCTCCAAATCTCCTGTGAAAACACTCAACTCCTGCTAAGGGCCTTCCATCACCAATGCACGGCAGAGCACGGACCCAGCAAATAATCCTGTCCAGGGTTTTTGTCACACAGACCTGCTTAATAACAGCCTGCATGCAGCAATAATTTATGCCACAAGGTGAGGCAGAAATCACGTGCCTGTGTCTTTCTTCTCTGCTTTGCTCTTTCTCCCATCACTTAAAGGGTATTTTGTATGATGCTTTCAACCATGGTAACTGGAAAGTAAGGTTACACTGGTAACAAAGAGCTTGGGAATGTAAATTCCTGATACCTTCGTACGATGCTCCTTGCTGGGTGCACTTGTCGGTGAGAGGAGGCTGCGTGGTTCAACACGCAGAACACCAGGCTATATGCCTGCAGGCTTGCTCTCCAGGTCGGTCACTGACAGCATACATACCAGGTGGATTAATCCCTCTGCAAAAGCAGGGAACTAGCATGCCTTGAGAGACTTGGCTACAGTCACATATAAATGCTATGGGTTACTGCTACGATATTCACATGCTGAAATCAGGCACGTTTGTCTGCACTGCATTTAACTCTCAAAAAAAGCGTTTTGCATCAGTCACCACTGTTGCTTGCATAATACCAGTACCGCACCAGGAAATAAGAGTCTTTAAAAATTAATCCACTCTTTTAAACAGAAGTATTTCTCTGGGTTTTAAAAGAAATCTCATAATTTGATCTCATTGGATTTGAGCAAATGGCAGTGCTAACTTTCTGAAATCTCCTGAATGGACGTCTTTGGCAGTAAGGCTTTGTAGCATGTGAGGATGCAATGGGGGTGCTGGACCACTTGTACTATGCAAGTTTTCATGTAGAGACTTACATTCTTAGAAAGGTATCTAAAGCAGGAAAACACTTGGCAAACTGTTTGTTTTACAGGATTATTTTAGCTATTTTCAGACTGTGCATACCCCAGAGAGCGAACTGGAGGCTGATGAGACAGTTTACAGGGTATACAGTGTTCAGAGAATGGCGAAGGATCTCAGACTCTGGTCCTTGTTTAGAATGAAAAAGAAGCAAAATGGCTGATTTCAAAACCATTAACACATAAAAGATGCAGAATTTTTAAGAGAATAAGAGCCATGGACTCTCCATGGGGACCAGGGTTTCAGCAACATTTTAGTTTTAAAATCCATGCTGAGACTGTTTAACAAGAATATTCAGCAGCTGAGTAGCTGCCTCATTAAATTTAAAAAGCCTAGGCAGTTCTGTGCTTACAGACCCATGCTACAGAATTATGTATTTCTTTTCTGGTTGTTTCACTGACCTCATTAAGTACAACATCAGGTTTATCATTGCATATAAAGTGACCATCCAAGTCTTTACAGACACATCCATCAGCCACTTGATGAATTCAGAGCATTTCCTGAAGCATCAGATGATGCAACTAAAAGCAAAGCTTTAAAGCACAGCGGAAATAATGAAGTTATATCCCAGCAATGATGTTAATTCAGATTTCTGCATACAGTACTGCATTGATATCCCACTTTGGCATAGCAAATACGTGTAACCTCTTCCTATCTAACCCTTTTTTTTTAAAGAAAGTTGGAAGTTACAACATATTTTCCTCATTCAGAAGAATCATTTTCACACAAAATCAGTGTATGTACATGAAAGTAATACAATTATAGAATTAAATAATATGTGCATTAATACTGAACACTGTGGTAAATAATGAAGATTAATTGTCCTGAGAAGCAGAGAGGTCCTAAGCAAATCTGAAGTCAAAGCTGACATTAAGGAATTGTAAATCTTAATATCCACAAAATCTCAAAATCAGTATTTGCCCATATGTATTTATTATGTTCTGTCAGAAAGTTTTTTACCTGAAAGTGCCAGAAATCTGTCACAAATACCTTAACAGAAGAGGAAAAATGAAGAACAAAAGCAGGAAGAGTGTTTAGATAGTATTTAAGGAGAGATGCAATATTAAATGGGGGAAGCCAGAATTTATTCAGATCAACATCAACATTTATTTCAGATGCCAGAAAATTCAGGAAAATGGCTGAATTTGGCACGATGTATGTATGTTTGAAGAAATCTATAATTAGCTCTTTTTTCTTTTCAGTGTTACCACACCCACTACTCTTGCACATCCCCTGTCTATCCAAAATCTATTTTAATACTACCTTCCTACTGTAATATTTAAACCAGATCTTTTCCCTGTTCTAGAGTTTTTGCTTGGCCTTTGGTACCAGTTTCTGACTCCTTCTAACCTCCATGACATGAGATCTTCTGATGAGAGGTGGCAAAGTTTGACTGTCTTTTAGAGTGACTCTCCAATTTCAGCACTATCTTCCAGCTGCCACTGATAAGTGTCTAGTTCTTGGTATATTTCTTCTCTTCACTGTCTTGTGCAATTACTTCAATCAGCTATGTAAAAATCCCATTTTCAGGGCTGTTTAATGATCGCAAATTGAAAAATCCTGAGATAAGAAGAAATTATTTTTTAGTGTGCTATACATATGCCAGTTTTTATATATATGTGTATATATATATATATATATATGAGTTTATGGATATCAGAGTAAAAGTAAAGGTATTGCATGTATTGTCTTTGCACCATAAGTGGAGGGTGGAGGGTGGGGAAAGCTGCTAAATCCTCAGAGCTGTTCTGTGTCTTCAGAAATGCCAAATTCCTGCCTGGGAAGAGGTCAGTACAGGTTTTCCTGGTGGGAGGAGACAGTGGAACAGCATTCTATTAGTCACTGATTAGAGTGTCCCAGTTGTGATTTATTACTTCCGCTTCATTCACTGGATTCATTCACTGAGCAAATATCCCTCAGCGAGCACTGCAAGTCTCACATAGGTTCCTGTTACTTTTGCATTCAGCGCTCTGGTTTACAGACATGAAGAGCACAAGTCTCATAATAACAAGTCTACTCCCTTGTTCAATTTACACAGCTACAGATGCAGATGATCAGAGTAGTTTGCTGTTATTTATGCTATTTCCTCAAAAAAAGTGCAGGCACTATAGATACAGTTAGTAAATTAAACCTAGCTGTCACTGTGAGGCAAGAAATTACAGAATGGAATGAGAGGCAGTGTACTCAGGCAAATTATCTGAGGTTATGCTGGAGCTGGGAAGAAGATTCAAGTGCAACCTACATCCTTTGCCCCATAATAATTCATACGATGCTGTTCTAACAAATGTTAGAGGTAATCTACACTCTTTTTTCTCTCCTAGTCTGCTGGCTGCGACCCCCAGTGTTAAAATCTAAGGCAACATCACCTGATTATCTTTCCTCTCTCTGTCCTCTCCTTCCACTTCATTTTTAAAATCATTCCAAAGTCCAGACTGCTTTCTAGGGCTTCAGTAGTTATTAAGAGGTATCTGGAAGTATTTTTCTTCTTGACATTATATGAATGAATGCAAATATTTTGGAAAAGTGGCTGAGCCCCACAAACAATTGCCACCAAACACTTAAAATCTTTGCTTCAGAGAGAAGCTACTTCTAGGCTTAGTCAACTACTGATTATTGCTAACAATACGTCCCCACTAAGCTCAACAAATGTTTCTTTATATGCTGCAAGGTATTTATAGTATACCTTCTTTCCCATGCCTGTATTTCTTTTTAAGAGATTTATAACTTCCGTATCAAGCAAAACCACGAGACTCAGCAAGTGCCAGTGCGCAAGGCACTGCTGTTACTGAATTACACACGAATATGAGATGTTAAAAACTAGCATTACTGCCCTGAAAAGGAATTCAAAGAAGAAATCATTTGCATTTACAGTAAGCACCCACAGCTGGAATCCTTGTTGCACTGTTTCCCACTGTGCGCAAACTGACCTCATTTCTTAAACCCATAAAGCATTATCATGCTGATGCACTAAATTATCACAGTAGACTTTTTTAAGCAGTGGTGCTTTTCTACTGAAGCTGTGACTGACTGCAATTTGCATGAGACAAAAAGATCTTACACTTCAAGCTGTGGGTTGCAAAAGTTAAACCAATATTCATGTAGAGATTGTGTGTGAATTGCTCACTTTTCCTTTTTTTCAGCATCTTTGCTAAGAACAGCACATATTGCATCTCTCATAGTCATGCAGCTTCAAACTTGGAAATCCATTCACCTTTCTTATTCCATGTTCCCATGAGTCACCCTATTAGTTTCAAGAAATGCAACTCAAGCATGCCTTAAGTCATCAGCTTCAAGACTTAAAAACATGCATGAAAAACCACTACCTTCCCATTTGGAGACATTTTCCAAAGAAATACTGCATTATTAACAAAACACAGCCATTATTCAAAAAACACCTTTTGGAGATGTATTTTTCTTTCCTATTTATGTACTTTCACATGCCAGAAAATTGTTTCTCTTTCCACTCTGTCCACAGCCCAGTGTTCAAGATTAAAATTACAATCCAGTACCAAGTAGAAATGGCAAATTAGTTGTCCTGAAGGCCAGGAGTGAAATTTAGCCACATACCGACATTCTATGACTTGACAGGGCCATGTCTCCTACATGGCTCAACGACTGCCTCAGTCTGCCCAACAGATTCTGCAGGTATCACCCAATTTCTT